CCAGCGCAGCACGATCTCGCCAGTGATCCCTTACAAGAGAGAAAGAGAGAGAGCGAGAGAGAGAGAGAGAGAGAGAGAGACAGAGAAGTAGAGAGAGAGAGAGAAGAGAAGTAGGGAGAGAGAGAGAGAGAGAGAGAGAGAGAGAGCGAGAGAGAGAGAGAGAGAGAGAGAGAGAGAGAATTGGTTTGGTCGGTTGAGAGAGAGAGACAGTAGAGAGAGAAGAGAAGTAGAGAGAGAGAGACAGAGAAGAGAAGTAGAGAGAGAGAGAGAGAGAGAGTAGAGAGAGAGAGAGAGAGAGAGAGAGAGAGACAGAGAGAGAGAGAGAGAAAAGGAAAAACGGGGGGGTTTGCGCACACCTCTATGTGAGGTTGCCGTTACAGAGTGACCGTTACAAGAGAAGGAGTAACACTGCCACTGTGGAAGGTGCCAGTAGCAACACCTTCTTGTTCACGCAAATGATGCAAGTTGTCAGCACAAGATCAGGGCCAAGATAAGCAAACATGTTCAAACACGAAATGGGTGCTGGTGTTAAAATTGCATCTGCGTCATCCTAAAATGGGTGCACGCAAGCAACGGGGATGCAAAATGAGGCTGCCCCTTGCAAATGTCCCAACCGCACGCTCGTGCCTCCTCCTCCTGCTGCCTCTTGCCTCCTGCTGCCTCCTGGTGCCGACTGCTGCTGCACCTCATCAACCCCGCCCTTCCCCCCGCCCCCTACACACAGACACGCACACACACTCAATTTGACACGTTGATCAGGCTTGGACCTGCCATGAAGGGTGCTCTGCGACTCAAATCGTACATCCGATGGTTGGTTGGTGCTCCTACTCTACCCACGCGCCATACGGGTGCTGCGAGGAGGATGCTCGAGCGGCACAATCTTGGCAAGACTCGACAGCCACAATTCTCATGCCTGCCAAAGCTCCAGCTTGGCAATGGTGCGGCTTGCCTGCTGGGCGCGTGGGTTGGATGTGCGCTTGAGCCCTCGATCCTGGTCCCTTGCGCCATGATTCTTATTTCAACTCAATCCGGCTCCTCCTTCCTCCCTTTCAAGTATCCACAACCCCCCCCAATCATCTTTGATGGTTGCTTCTGCCAGACAGCAACGGGTACATCACGCGCGCGAGACACCCCAATGCCGGCCTCGTACCTTGAATACGCACGACCACGGTTGACGACCCTAATCCCTGTTTGACCTCGACATGATGATTCCCCCTTTCGGCTGTTTGATTTATTTGACATGTGACACCTTTTTTTTTTGATGCACGCGCAAAAGTTGACATGCGATGGTGATCACGCGACAGGGGACAGCCCCTTATAGTGGCACTCCTCGGCACTGGCGCAACCAATCACTTCCCCAATCAGCCTCCACATCCTCCATGTCTCGAGCGGTGGGGGTGGGATTTCTCGCTGCGTCTTTGACGCAAAAAAATAAAGAAGAGGCGTCTTCTGACGCGGTCACTCACCGCGCTCTGGTGCTACACCAGCCACTCGCCCATTTGCCTTCCGCGATGCACCCCATCCCATTTTTTTGCAGCACCTGGTCCCGCTTGCTTAGATCGTTCAGCTGATTAAAAAAAAAACTTTACCCCCACTTGACACTTTGAAGTGGCTCTGGTTTCTCCGTCATCTCCCTCATCATGCCTGCTGATTCATTGGCCAGCAGTGCCTCCTTTGAGCCCTCCTTTGAGGAACCCTCGCCGTTCCATCGACGCTACGCCATGCGTCGTCGCCACCACCCCCACCTCGACTTTGAGACCCCACACCACGCCATGCTCACCACCCTAGCCGATGATGGCCTCGCCTTCCCCGATACTCCAAACAGCAGCACGCGCTCCTCAACCATCCTGAATGACAGCGATACAGAGCAGGGGCCCAGCGCAGCCGACACGGCCTGTGAGCCTATAGCCAAACACATGCACACCACCTCTTTGCATTCGCGCCTTGGCCTGCTGGAGCAGCGACACAGTGGCACGCCTCCCACGCACGATCTTGCTGGTCCAAAGCGGTGTTCCTCTCCAACCGCCTTTCGGCATCCCCCGCCACGCTCCCAAACGCGGGGCCCGCAGCACGAAGCACTGCCCCGACTCGAGTTATCCCTCGCCAATACGCTTGTACCTGTTGGCGCAACCGTAACAGTAGATGGCGTGCAAGTTTCCCACGTCTGAGTTTTGTTGTGACGCCCAGTCTTGCTCGGGCGTTTTTCCCGTGTCCAGAGCTGGTCTCTGAGAACTACTTGAAGCTTAGTGATATCATTTGGATTGAATCTCCGGGACAGGCAGGATGTGCACTCTCTTCCCCTCTTGAAAACCCGGCGTGGTTGGCTTGTTTCATCCGGTCCGCTCCGATTGCTGTCACTGCCGATTGGTCTGGTCCGTTCGCCAACACCCTGCCTCCCACAATTGATTACCCAACCGACATTGACATTGCCATGGCGATCGCACCAAACCGTGCTTTGTGTGAATAAACGGCTGCCAAGCTGCTTTGATCACTGGGGCCAGAGTACACCAGCATGTTGGGCCCAAGAACTCAATTGGCTTGCCTGAGCGCTCAGCGTCTCAACAGCATGCGCCGGCCCATTTGTCAACTCGTAGCCATCGCTCAGCGATGGTAATACCAAACGGGTCAGGATTACAAGTCTCCAAAAATGTCGTCAATGTCATCCGCAGGGGCACGGGCGGCTTGGCGCTTGGGCGGTGGACCACCATTCCTTGCAATCACTTCACCGGCTCCATGCTTGTCATGCTGCTGCCGCTTCTTCTTCCCACCGCGCCGGCTCGAGTCTACACGCCGTTCTGATGCACCTGGCGATTGCTGATCCAATCTCGTCGTTGCGGCCGTGGAGCTCGCAGCATTTGCTTGTGCTTGGTTCAGCCTTGCAGGTAGTGTAGCTTGCAACGTCGGGATGGTGTCGAGTGAGCGTGCTGGTTGAGTCACATGGGGGCCATCGCGACGACTGGTGCTGTGACGTGCTTCATCTTCCTCGTCGTCTGAGCTGTCAGGGCGGGCTTTCACAGGGGCCCGGTCGAGAATTCCTGTCCCTCGAGTAACCGTATGCACGGAAATCGGGCGTTTGGTATGCCCAGGAGCAGCGGTGGCAGCGGTGGCAGCGGTGGCAGCGGCGGTGGTTGGTGCCCACTCGGCCAAGATGGCTGTCCACTTGGCGCTGGTCCGAGCCAATGCTTCGAGCAGAACTTTGATACGAGCAAGCCAGGCCATGACGACAGTCCACATGGGCATGAATAGGGCCTTGGCTAGCTCCTGCTGTGCTAGAATATAGGAGCTTCTGACCAGCTCCAAAACGGCTGCGATCTGCTGGGCGAGCAGCTCAAGCCACTCAAGCGTCCCCACGACGTCTCGCTGAGAAATGCTGCGCACCTTCTCAAGACACTGACGAATCGCAGCCAGAACGTGATAGTCCTGACAAAAGTGCGCCGTGACAGTCAGTGAGCTCATGCGCTGTGTTGCCGAGCCCCACTCCGACTCTTCTCAACACATTTCGGCAAACCCCTGGCTTCCAAATACAAATGCTTTCCCGTAAAGATCAGCTATGTACCCACTTCAAGTTTACGCAGTCGTGATTGCAGTTGTCGCAGTCGTTGAAACGCCTTGGAGTGCCGTAGTTGGGCAATGTTCCGATATAAAAGGCGGCGCAGGAGCTCATTCTGCCACAGGGAAGCAAGCGCAAAGACATGAGCCGTGGTGATGCCTGGCAGAGAGCGCGACTCCAGTGCAACAGGTGCCAACATTGCCAGCTGAAACATACTTCGGTCGTGAGGTCACATGCTTGCAGGTGACGCCGCACCATCGTGAACTGCTCTTTCTTACTCTTCCAATCTGTCGTGATGGGCGAAGTCATGAATGGCACAGCACGAGTGGCGGCGACGCCACGTGATCGAACCACCCGATGCGGCCTGGCTGCCCTCGAACGCCAGGTCATCTCATCAGCTTACCGGCATGTTGTGGAGGCGCATCCAGCGCCACGTCTGCAAACGGGGCCAACGGTGGCATACTGACGCCCCCTTTTCCGTTTCACCGGCGTCCCACGCGTGCCACAGCGACTGCCAAAACCACACACCAAGAAACCGACAAGAGAGAGAGAGAAGAGAGAGAGAGAGAGAGAGAGAGAGAGAGAGAGAGAGAGAGAGAGAGAGAGAATGAACAGCAAAGGCAGCACAACTACCACATGAGAGAGAAAAAAGAGAGAAGAGAGTTCTCTCTCTCTCTCTCTCTATTTCTCTCTTCTCAAACCAATTCATTTCTCTCTCTCTCTCTCTCTCTCTGCGCGCGTTTTTCTCTCGTGAGGATTGACGACGTCGTTGAGCCGATTCAGCTGTAGAGATTCTTGGGCACAGCGCAGGGATGACCGTGACGCGCGTTGTGGACAACGAGCCCCAGGGGTGGGCGCTCGGCCTCATGATCATTGTGGTTGTGCATATTGCTCAGTACATGGCCAATCAACATGGTGTGGAGGTTTGCCTCAACGAGCTGACAAGCCACCTGATCCAGCGCATCCAGGTTCACGCTCGCGCTCGGCTCTCTCTCACCCGCTCGCTTTTACTGATGCCATCGATCAAGCTCACGATCACCCGCACCCTGGGAATGGGGACATGCTTGTTATCGCCACAGGAAGACCCCGTGACGCCCTTCTCTCTCCTCCTTGTGCTGGAGGTTGGTTTTGACATCCTCGCTCACTGGGCTGCGCAAGAATGAATGGCCCATCTTGGGTGGGATCGGGTGCTCACTCCAGCCACCCGCATTCGACCTGAATCTAAATAGGTGGCACTAGCTGTTGTGATGGCCGCTGGTATCTACGTGGCTGGCCATCGCTCACTTTTGGCTGCCGTGGTACCAGAATACATGCGCTATACTGTGGTTCACTTGACTCGCGAGTCGACCTGCGGTGAGCCGGCCTATGTTGATATCTGTACCAGTCACACGACCAAGCATGCAGTCAAGGCATCCAGCCATGAGGTTGCCGCTGCCTATCGTCGTCTGGCCAGTGGACATGGCGACACATCGTCTGGCCCTGCTGAGGAGCAAGCCATTTTTAGCGATGCTGAGGACGAGGACGACCACGCTGGACAGCCACCAGTCAAGGCCCACACCGGGGCGCCGGAATTCCACATCTCCTTTTTGCACATGATCAGGTGAGGTCCTGTACCTGTGGCTACCAGCGGACTGCAGCCCGTCCCACCAGTCGTTTGTGTAAGCCACGGTCGCATCAGCTGACAAGTTGTTTTTCTGTGCTTCTCCCTCTTGTTAGCGAAGAGCCATGCCCCACGTTCACTGAGACACAGGGTCCAGGTCATGTCCGAGTTTGGGGATTACCGACCCGCGCTGGCATGCATGCCTGGTCGATCCAGCACGCAGGGCGCGATGTTGATCCCACTCGCCCCCTCACGCTGCATTGGGTGGAAGCTCGATCCTAAGCTTGGCTAGGATGACCTGGTCGCTGGCATGTTTCTGCTCTCAATTGCACTGAGCCCAACTGGACCGTAGATTTTCTTTCAACAACAGATGGCCACCAGTGTTGGGTAGTGCTCATCGTACTCAGTCAATCCTTGTTCCTGTGAGATCGGACATCAATGAGTGGATGCAAGCTTGCAACTCCTCACGAGGAGACAATCCAAACTCAAAGCAAAAATACATCGAGTCACAAATCAACAATCAAGAAAAGTACTCGGGAGCACAAACGCACCTTGACAGAGGCCGCATAGGCTTGAGTGGCAGCCAAACAGGCAGCCAGACGTTCCGCTTCTGTCGCTGTCACAAGCCAGCGCGCATACTGACGCCCGAAACAACATGATTAGCCTTGACAATACGAGTACGCTGGCAAGAGGAGCAGGTGGCAGGATGGACATACGTTTTGATGCCTCTTATTTGCGTGTACGCGCGGAGAAGGCTTCATTCCTTCGCCTGCCAAGCTGAAGAGATGGTGGGCCACATAGCTAGAGGCGACAGAGCCATGAGGTGGTGGTGGTCAAAAAGGTGGATTGCGGTCTTGACAACAGGGTTTTGGCTCTGGTTGAAAGGGTTGTAACTACGAGAAAAACAGATCAACCGAACCAAAGCTCCAAACCAAAGCAATCGCGGCAGCCATACCTCGGCGGTAGCGCCGTGCTGGACTGTGCCTGATCACCAAGCTCAGAGATGCTGGCGCAAAGCATGGGCCGCATTGCTCTACGTGACCGATAGCAGGCAGGTTGGTATAAGAAGTGGAAATTCAACAGCACGCATCTTCCACAATGATCATGCAAGGCGCAAGGCGGCCATTGTACCGTAGTGCATGATACGGGGCTCCGATGTCAGCCACCTTGCAGTTGGCAATGGGTGTTAAGGCCTCCAAGCCCAACTCAAGCTGTCGCCATCACAAACAACGTTATGAGTGGGGCGCAGAGGTGCAGGGTATGATAGCAACCATTGCCGTTTTGTCCGTGAGCAAACCTGTGACACATCCTCCAGCAGGGTCATCCGCCCCGATGGCGACACACTATCAAGGATGCAAGCATTGGCAATAAAGTACCAGCACAGCTGTGCCGTCAAGTCCTGGCACAAGGATTGGCGCAGCTGTAGAGCGGCGATACGCGAGAGGCACACGTTGACCACGTGGGCACAATACTCGCCCAGTTGCTGTTCACCGGAAACGCATTTTCAAGCAGGGCACCACGTGAGCCCGGTCGTCATTGCACCCAACCGAGTCGAGACCTAATTCACTGAGAGCAAGCTTGCTTTTGCAAAAGAATAGCGGCTATTCACGCACCACCACATAGTCATGGCCGGGTTGCTCGTGGGTGCCGGCAGAGGCGTCACTGCCCTTAAAATCGCAGTGCTGCATTTGCTCTAGCAATCCAAAGCAATGGTCTCGCACCGAGTCGAAGATGGGTCGCACAATGTCCTCCAAGAGTTTTTGGGCACCCTCAAAGGCCTTGGCATAAGAACCGCGCCCATGATCCAGCTCCTCAATGCGTTTTAAGACTGCGCCATCAACGGCCGAGCTGAGCCTAGGGCCAGACACAGTCAAGCGCAGGAGAAAGTTGATAAGGTCCAAATGGTCCAAAATAGGATAGCCAACGCCTTGTGATCCACTCAAGTCACACATATGCGTACTCGTGCGTTAATTGATGCAAGCGGTTGGCCAGCGAGATGTTGCGCTTCAAGCCTTTGGTAACCGGGCCTTGCAGGTGAAGGACGTCATCGCCAATGGCCAGTGCCTGCTCCGTCTTCATCACAAACCAGTTGATAGCCTGCCGCAGTCCCATCGCCAATTACATCTTAGTTCTCATGCTCAGGGGGCTTGGGCTACAAGTTGACTTCCTTCCAGTCATCAGGTGCACAAACTCATGCCTATCTTCGGCGCTCCTGCTGCGAGCGCTTACCTTGGCCAGGCTATGCAAAATTTCCTGCTGCAATGCGGGGATGGCTGCCACCAGCTCCAGCTCACGTACACAAGCCTGTGGCACGGGTTTGTCAGAGGGTTAGCTAGGGCCATGTATGGGCACTTGGTGTGCACACTCTGTGTGTGTGTGTGTGTGTGTGTGTGTGTGTGTGTGTGTGTGTGTGTGTGTGTGTGTGTGTGTGTGTGTGTGTGTGTGTGTGTGTGTGTGTGTGTGCAAACTGCAAATGGTGTAGGACAGACGTACGCGCACAATGGCCTTGACTTCATCGGAAGAAGGTGGCTGCTGGGAACTCTCGGGAAAGACGAGATTGATCGGGTCGAACATGCGGCTCATAGATGCTGATATGTAGACACGCTGCAAGGGTAGGATGCTGAAACAACGTGCACATGCCGCCGAGCAAAAGCAACAGTAAGTTTCGACACCCCATGTCTCTCACTCAACCATCAGATCCTTGCTCTTAAGTGACGCCGCTGTGCGCACCTGTCTTGAAACACCGCTTCTTCAGCTTCGAGTAGTGACACGGGTAAATCAGATCCAAATTGGGCCGTGATCTTTCTACGCTCGGCGAACAACGAGTTAATTGGACCAAAGCATGCATGGTGTGAGCGAGTGAGATGTGCAGTGGATAGGGCTGCCACGACAATACGCAAGAGGCAGGCTGTGCCTCATCCATACGCGAGTGATTCGGCGTGAAGCCGCCAAAGTCGGGGAAATTCTGCTTCAAATGCGCTGCGAATGACGCCCGAAGCTGAGAGAGAGAGAGAGAGAGAGAGAGAGAGAGAGAGAGAGAGAGAGAGAGAGAGAGAGAGAGAGAGAGAGAGAGAGAGAGAGAGAGAGAGAGAGAGAGAGAGAGAGAGAGAGAGAGAGAGAGAGAGAGAGAGAGAGAGAGAGAGAGGAGAGAGAGAGAGAGAGAGAGAGAGAGAGAGAGAGAGAGAGAGAGAGAGAGAGAGAGAGAGAGAGAGAGAGAGAGACCCAGCGATAACCAAGTGAGGTAAGATAAGCAGTGCACAAGGACTCAGATTCGATCGCTGAGACGCAGAAAAGCCAGGCGAGCGCATGCATGAGCGTCGTACCGGTTGCACAATTTTCAGCAAATTCTTGCAGTCGCTTGCACATAGCAAGCCAGTGTTGGTGTGCAATACCACCAGACCGGGGCTATAAATGTGACCAGCCGGCAGAACGAGTGCCAAGTGAGTGGAGCGCTCTCGCCAGCCGCTGGTTCGGAACGAAGCTGTGTACCTCAAGGAGCTCTGAAAAGGTGGCCATGGTTTCTTGGGCACGCCGTTTTGCCAAGACGCGCTGGAGCGTCTTGACTTGACCTGCATGGTCCACGAAGGTGCTATAAATGGAATCCACGGCCGCCCATAGGGCGGCTCGGCGAGCTATTGAGCAATGCCGTCAGTTGACGAGCTGTTAGAATCAATCATGAAGAGCGTGCAGGCATCATGACAACAAGGGACCCGATGCACCAGGGGCATATCCACGAACGACCAGTTGTCGTACCACTGTCTGTTTCCGATACAGCCGGCGGCTGGCTCACTTCGTCCAGCCGTTGTTGGAACAAGTTTTCGAGGCCATTCAGAACGGAGCGAACCTGCAGGGCGATCAAAGCCACATGAGTGTAAAGGGCAGGCGCAGCACCGCGATGAAGCAACATGTTTGGGAGCAAGAGGGGCTCATGCCGAGGGGGGAAGCCGTTTCTGACAGACATTATCGCTCAAAAGGCCCAGGTTTTGGGCGACTTGCAGGCCAATCGCCACATGAACTTGGTTCTTGCCCTGCATGCCAGTTTGTAGGAGGCGAGTGCCACTGGCCACCACGAGCTCGCGAGCTTCTTGGAGCCAAGGTTTGGTCTCAGCTACAATGGTCACCTTGTGCAATTCTTGATCCTCGAGAAGCAAGTCAATGTCATGCAAGCTTGCAGCTGCCTACAACATTGTTGTTTGAGAGAATCGCGCATGGGCAGGACCGGCGTGGCCTGGATTTTGTGCGTGCATCCTACCTGGACAAGTTTTTGGGAGCCGGCTTTGACTTGATCGTGAAGACGGCTGGTAGAGGCCTTGAAACGAGCTGTGCGACGCAAAAGATCGCATGCAGCCTTGAAGCATTGCGAGATGAAGGAAAGTAGGCAGGTACGGGCGAGCCCGCACGAGGGGGAGGAGACGAAAAGCCGACAAAATTGGTCCGATAAGCAAAGTAGCCAAAAAAACAACAGGAACAAAAAAACAAACAAACAAAAAAAAAAAAAAATCTCTTGTCCTGCTGCAAGGACAAGACGGGGACATTCCGCATGATCGGTCGTGCGCACCTGGAGCCGGCCAAGCTGTGCGGTTCGGTTCTGAATTTGTGAAAAAGGTTCGTGAAGGCGCTCTCGAAAGCGCGAGGTGTTTTGATGAATCGAGTCGACGCGGGCTTGCACCATCTCCAGAACATCTAAAACAAACAAACAGACACACGAATATTTTCGGCTAGTCAGGACCAGCGTGCCCGGGACAGGTTCTTATGGCGGGCTGTGATGCATGTCGGCGCGACCTTCGAGGCGTTGGATGCCCAGGGCTTGGTGCAGCAGGTGATGGTGGCGCTGCGTGACTTGTCGGTGCAGCTCAGTCTCGATTTGGGCCAGACCTCGTTGCAGCTGTGCCGGAAAGACCCAGTCCCACACCCAGCCAGCCAGTGTCAGTGATGTTATCAGCAGAGTTTGTGATGTTGGCGCTCAGTCAGAAGCCTAGAGCCACGCGAGCTGTACGAGCTTACCCGAGAGAGACATTCGGCAATGCCGTGCGCTTTGATAATGGTATTGGCATGGCGGTTGGCATCGAAATCATCGGCAAAGAATTCGCGTGTCAAATCTGGTTGGCAAGTCATGTTGGAGGGGCCGGTGGCGCATGAGCTGGAGTGGCCATATGTCTATCAAGCTCGAGCAGGGAGCCAAAGACGTGGGCCCAGCCGTGGTCGTACCTTGCTGTTGGAAGGCGGCGACAGCTTCACCCTCTTGGGACGAGCTGCTGCCCCGATCAGTCAGAGTGGCTGACCGGCTCTTGCGCTGGCTGCTGGTACTGGTGCCGCCGCGCGGCCCACCGCCGGCCTCGACTGCGGGCGCCATGCTCGCGACGACGCTTCAAGCCGTTGACTGCTGCGCTGCTGTGGGCATAAATCGAGCCAATGAGCCGGGTGGGATGACGGACGGTAGGGAAATCCCCCTCCACTAATCCCTTATAGCAAAATCAGTTTCCCACACGCTCGCGGGCTGCTCGATCATGGATCCAAAAGCCACACCCCAACTCGCAAAACGCCATGACCGACTGACTGACCGACCGACCGACTGATGCGATCGACTGCACACTCAAGTTCCAGCCCAACTGCTCGAAGATGCGACTGCCCTCTTTTATCTGACAAACCACAGCTATGACGCTTGGTAGCGCCTACATCGACACAGCTCGGATGCAACAACGTGACACACACACATGCACACACACACACACACACACACACACACACACACACACACACACACACACACACACACACACACACACACACACACATGCACACACACACACACACACACACACACACACACACACACACACACACACACACACACACACACACACACACACACACACACACACACACACATGCACTCTCGCAGCAAGGCGCTGGCGGGGACGGCCTCGGTACTCGGTGGTGGGAACGTCGCGACTGGTTGGCGGGCTGGAGTGCTGCGGCATTGGTCAGGTTGAACGAGGTCGGCTTAACAGCGAAATGGGCCAGGGGAGCAGCACGGCCGCCGGGGCGTCGAGTGCAGCGAGTACTCCCGCCCCCGACCTGAAGGTGCCGCCACCCAGCAACACAGCGGCACATCCGGCCTGTAGCGCGTGCTCTGAGCCTACAGCTGCCGAGGAGGTCGCACAGCAGAAAGCAGCAGCGGCGGATGGTTTTCAGGGCAAGGTGCGCGTGTGGCTGCGACTCTGGCACACGTGACAGGCCTGTGCCTCACGGCTGGCTGCTGGTTCATGTAGACACCCTTTGCGTACATGCATTCTGGCTGCCCCTTGAATCGACGCGAGCTGGGCCGCGCATCCTGGGCGTTTTTGCATACGATGGCTGCTTTTTATCCAGGTGAGGGTGTGTGGGGTTGAACAACTTTGAGGGGCCGGATATGCGGATAAGCGGCATTTGGATACGGGTACGCTGACATGGATGGTTCGGGGGCTGCTTTTGCTTGGACGTGTCTTCTTTCTCAGAGGAAGCCACGCCAGAGAAGCAAAAGGAGATGGAGGAGTTTATGTGGACCTTTGCTTCGGTGTATCCGTGTGGCTACTGCGGGGATACCACGTGGCAAGAGATGATGCGCCATCCGCCTCAGGTTGGCTGTACATGTTCGATTTGGGTTGAGCGTGCTGATTGCAGCCATTGCTGGCCGTCTACTCTCCTTTCTCATGGATCGGTGTGTGCATGCCATGTGATGACACGTTGGTTCTGGTGACTCGCGGTTGCAGGTGAAGACGCGCAGCGAGTTTACGCAGTGGATGTGTGAACTCCACAACGAAGTGAACGACCGGTGCGTGAATGATTGGTTCAGGGGCAGGCTGTCTTGGACGATGGGCAGTGAAAGGCACCAGCGAGTCTTGAACTGAGAGCCAAGAGAAAAGGATCGTTGGCATGGCTGTGCTGCATAGCCATGGTGCATAGCCATCTTTTGCGCCCGATGCGCTCACGCCTCCTTGCTGGGTCTTTGCATTGATGGTCATGATCTATTGGACCGGCTTGCCTGGGTGCGGCGTGTTTTCGGTGTGTTTCCTCTCGTGTCGTGCGCTCAGCTTGGGCAAGGAGCAATTTGACTGTAGCAAGGTCGAGGAGCGCTGGCGCACCGGACCACCCGATGGCTCTTGCAAGTGAGCCGAGCCCACGCTCAGGTAGTCGGGGGGACGCCGGGGGCAAGCACAGATCTGATTCGACACCCGCCCAGCCCAGCCGGCCTTGCTCTCCTGGGCCTTGTCTTGGTCGAGCAAAACTACAATCGATAGGTATTTAGAGAGATGTGGGCTTTATTGAACACGCATGTTCACGTGGGAGCCAAGGGGCAGCAGGGGCACAGCCAAGCTGCAATTGTTGCTTTTTTTTAAAAAAAACAACAACAACAACAACAACTGCCATGGGCTGTCTGGCATTCACGAGTCGAGGATGGGTGGAGCCTGTTTCTTGAATGGTGTCAGAGTCCGTTTGCATGTGAATTGAGGGCTTTTTTCAGGGTTTGAGAGAGCCACTATGTATCGCCACACAACTCGAAGCTGTCAATCTCGACTCTCGGTACGCTTTGACTTTGGGTTGGCCAACCCAACGCGCAGGTGATCTTCTACGAACAAGAAGACCAAGCTTCTGGTTGCTAGCTGCCGCCTTTTTTTTTTTTTGAAAAGCAAGGGGGCCATGTTCGCTTGCTGCGATGGACTGACCGGACCTAAACGGACCGGCACAGATGAAGACCGACGCCCCTATGACGAGACTGCAGATAGAGGCTTTGGTCTTCCCGTGTTCGATCCGCGGTGTTCCCAGTGTTTGGAAGCTGCCGATTTGGATTGGCTTTGTTTCATCATTTTGGCTGGGGCCGGAAGCGGGTGTGTCGACGGCAGCGGCGTCTACTGGCGATGGTTGCGTTCGAGGCGGACAACAACTACATTTGACTTGAGCCGCGCGCGTGCTCAAAACACAACGCCCCCCGTGATGCAGTCCGGATGTCAGCTTGAGCGTTGAGCGGACAGCATACACGGGATGAGTGGCCACGATGGTGGTCCTAAGGCGGACATGGATTGCTCGCTGGTGAGCAGAGGATCCATAACAAAGGTCACGAGTCGAGAGAGAGAGGACGATGGAGCCACGACGGATCTGCCAAAGGGCATCGCCGCTGACACACAAAGTTGAGCGACCTCATGCGCGGCTCTTCGGGGGACGGGGTCCCCCTGCCCCAAAGGTTCTGCAGGTCGACGTCATGTCATAGGGTTTAAAACTTCGTCACCCCGTGTTTACACGGAAATCCAAAGGCGTCCCACCTTGCCCCACAAAACCCATTTCCTCACGTCTGTCAGAGTTGGACAGTGAGTCGGTTCGGTTGTTAAGGTGGGCAAGTGAAGTAAAAAAAAAGGAGAAAAAGGTAAAAAAAGGTCAAGCCAAACTCTGGTGTGTGTGTGTGTGTATGTGTGTTGCACACCACCACCATGCTCTTTGTTCTCTTTCTTTTTTGGGTGGTGATCATCCTGCCCCAACCAATTGAACCCACCCCCTCTCTCTCTCTCCGCTCTCTCTCTCCCTCTCTCTGTGCGTCTCTCTCTCTCTCTGAGGCTCTCTCTTGTCTCTGTTTTCCTTGTTTCATGCGTCTGTCTCTCTCTGTCTCTCTGTCCGTCTCTCCGTCTCTCTGTCTCTGTCTTCGGCTGTGCCTCTCTGTCTGTCTCTCTCGCTCTCTTCTCTCTCTCTCTCTCTCTCTCGCTTGGGGCTCGTTCTCGGTGACGCACCACGGCGCTCACAATTCCATTCTTGTGTCAAAACAAGGTCTGGCAGGAGCGCATCAGACAAACGGCAGCCGTGCAGCCCCCTTCTCACCCCACTCAACCGTTCCTGGCGTTGCAACATCAGCTCACACTCCCTGTCTGCCCGCCTTGCTGTTGACGACACCTCCATCCTGCGCTGCCCTCTGGCTCAGGCACTTAATGCGCTGACGAGCAATTTATCTCTCCCATCATCGTCAACGTGTACCCCTTTCACCTTCCTCCCTCTCGGGTAAGATACCCCGAAACACCCATCCCTTCAGACCCTGGCGCCCGCCGCCCTGCCTCGAATGGCGACTGCATCGTGTCTCCTTTGCCCGCGGGGTCGTTGCCATGGTTGTACTTGGAGACACTTGGCTCGTGTGTGTTAAAAAATTCAAAGCACCTCTCCCACCCGCGGGCTGATGCTCTCGTTACCATGGATGGAATGGGAGTTGTCCTTGAGCTATCTATCTCAAGCTGTTGCTGCCTATCTCGAGTTGGCAGAGCCCTGCCATGCCATAAATTTGCCTGTGCGCCTTGCGCACCTTCCCGCTCATTCTTACCACCCTCTCGTCATAGAATCCGCTTTACTCATCCTCGTCATTCCCTCATCTCTTGGATCAGTTTGGATGATCTGAGACCAAATTTACCCCGGACGAAAGGAAACCCGGACTTTGCGTGCCCGCCCGTGAGCGAGCGCCATCGCGCCAAAAGCGCAAAAGACCCCTGACCGCACGCTGGTGCCATCCGACCCGGCCCGCTCGACGACCCGACGTGTACTCAGCGCCCTCTTTGAACTTCTTCACCTTGGTCGCTTGGGCGACCTCGGGCTGCCCCGAGCAAAAGCGCACGCATCGCGCGTCGCGCCCGTCTTTCCCTATGATCCGCGCGCCTCCCCGCAACGCCCCCTTCATTAGCGGGTATGCCCCGCCAGCTCTACCTTTTGCCCCTCCTGCCGCGCCTTATCCTCACGTCCGTCTTTCTGTCATTGCCCCTACCTCCGCCAGCTCAACATCATGTTTCTGGCCTCCAGTTAGCAAGCACAAGATGGCTGGTCACGCTCATGGCGGTTCTCAGCGACCCCTGACGTCCGGCGCCATGCGTGCAGCTCGCCATGCAAGAATTTGGCTCGGCATTCAAAGCTTGCTTCTTGCGCTCCTCTGTGCCCTGCCTGCGGGCACGACAGCGCTCTCCCTTCTCGTGCACACATCGGTCCCCTGCGTCGAGAAAGCTGCCGTCATCAATAGGCTTGAGGCTGTCTTTGGGTCGAGGCTCACCTTTGCCTGCACCAACAGTCCAAGCCGAGCCATGGAAGCTCGAGCTAACAACGAGTATGATTTCCTTTGGATGAATCACTTTCACGCTGCATGCGCCGTTGCCGAGCTAGACTGGGAGCCCTTTATGGCCCTCAACAAAACAGCGCCTTGTACGTTGTGTCGTACCGTTCTTGACCAAGCTTTTTTCTTCCCTCACGCGTCCTCTCAATTCCCCCTGCCTCGTCCCACCTCACTTGGGTCAACAAACAGATCGGACCGCACGACAAGGCTACTCCCTCTGGCGCCTCGCCAATCGAACTTTCACTGATACCGGCGGCTCATTCAGTGTCGGTACTATGCAAGCCAGCTACTTTGCCATGATCGAGCTTCTCAATCAAATGGGCTCCTCCACATATCTTCTCGATGCCCCCGTCCAGGTTCGTTCCGTTTTTCGTGCCCTCACAACAGCACACCGTGTATGCCTTCCCGTGTAAGGATGGGCATCACTTGCTCTTCAAGAGCAGCATTAACACTTGCACAACAAGACCAGCTCGCGCGATCCCTGTTCACATTCACTTTTGGGCTCTGGCATCACGCGCGTCACAATGCAGTCCCAATATTACAGCGATATCAACGTGGTTTTTGAGGCTCTTTCCAGCGGCGCTCTGGACTTTGCTGTGATTCCAGCATGTTTGGCGGAAGAGGCGGGTATTGACGTGAGCCCCTTTGCCCTGCACGTGGCCAACGGAACGTTTGCCGATCTTTATGCTGGCTGCGCCGTCTCTTTTGGCTTTGAGGACGAGTACGACCAGATTATTGTGAATAACCGCGTCCCTTCCTCGGTACGTGATTCGGTGCTTCACAGGGCAACCATCCTCTATTCTAGTTTACATTTGCACAAGGGTGCAGGGGGCAATCACGGTCGTGTTTCGAATGAACTGTCGTTGCCTCAAAGCAGTTCTTTTTCTCATGGCGGCGGCATTTGTTGGCTCGTATCATCATCGACTCTCGTCATGTTCGTGTTCTATTTTCGTAGGACGTGGCCGCCATTTTTGACGTTTTCAATGCAACAACCTTTTTTACCAACAACATATCCTACAATTGGGTTGATGCTGCACTTGCTGTCGACTACACACGTGAACAAGTCTCTCAGGTACGGTCGGGGTGACTGTGCAAAAGGTCTCGAGTATGATTAGCTGAGCCATCCGAACGCTTGTTGATCCGGATGCTCATGCCTCATTGGCTTGTTTTCCCGATGCCTCTCAGTTGGAAAAGGCCTTCATCAAAGCCACAGACAGTGGCATGACGTGCCTCTTGGATGGTCATCCGGACTATCTACACTGCGGGGGTGGTTTGCAAGGCCTGCCAGCTAAGCTCGAAGAGCGTGTGTGTCTCAACATGGAGCTCGAGTGCCCTGTCTCAGCTGCGAGCTGCTTTTGTCATTTTTGCCTCAACAGTTCCTCTCTACCCGGATACGTCGCCAACAGCTCAATTGCGCAAGACGATCCATTACAGTACGTGTCACAAGTTCTCAGTGGCAATACCCACTGCCGCGAGCAAGAGATTTGCGCTGAATTTGTTGCCGGCAGCAATGTGGCCCTTTACCTCGTGGATCTGGAGGCCTCATCGACCCCGACGACCCCAAGTGTCCGCATGCGTATGACCACAACACCTAGCGCTGAAGCACCGGTTTGGATGCCAGCGACTGTCATCGATCCAGGCGTCGGCCTCTATTCAGTTACTCTGGCCAACGCAACCTCACCGGGCGTTCTGGTCGTTGACGTCCGAGGCCAAGAAACCACCACCTCCTTCTGGTTCACCGTTTTGCCCATGCCGTGTAAGGGTGAACTCGAAGTGCGGGTAGCCGATGGGAGTTGTGGGTGCGCTGGGCATGCCGTCCTGCTGGGAAATAGTTGCCACGAGACGTGGAAGGTCACTCTTGGCTTTGTTCTGGGCAGCGTGGCCTTGCTCGCCATGCTGCTGGTCATTTTTGCGTACGTTGCACGTTGGCATAACGACCGGAAATGGCAAGTACATCGTGAGGATTTGATTTTTACCAACCCGCCAACACGAATCGGCGTGGGTCGGTTGGGTCCTGCCTTCAAGGCTGAGTATCACAGCATGGACGTTGTGGTCAAGGCCCTCAATCCCTCCAATTCGCACCGTGGCACGGGACATACTCTGACGCGTCCCATCACCCCGGGCAATGGCGCGAGCACCATACGGCGACGGAATTCACGGCGTCGTGCCGATACCGTTTATGCCAAGGTACCCCAGCCCCTGCGGCGCCACGAGTCGCTGACTGCAAACCATAGTAATTTGAGCACCCTGAGCAGCAGTGAGGAGTATGATGTGGAAGACGGCAAGCAAAACTTGCAACTGCTTGCTGGCGGTCGTGTCAAGTCATACTTTGCCAACGCAGATTTTCGATCACGCATGCGGATGCTCGTGTAAGTGAATTGGCTTGGTTTGGTTTGTGTTCACATGACCATTCCCATTTGCGCGCCGTCACCAGTCGCGCGTGCTGCTTCTGTACGGTACCCAATACCCAATCATTTCTCTCTCTCTCTCTCGCTCGCTCTCTTCAGGCGCCTTAAACATCCGAATGTAATCACCACCTTTGGCATCAGCATCGATACCTTTTCGCCTTTTGTGGTGCTGGAATACATGGAGAATCAAAGTGTTTATCAGCTGCTTCACAAGAGCCGGACGCCCTTTTCCTCTGAAACCCTCATGTCCATGATGCGTAACGTTGTCGATGGCATGTGCTACCTCCACGGACATGATCCGGTCATCGTCCATGGTCACCTGACATCCAAGGTCTGTTCGAGCCAAACGACCTCGAGCCAACGCAGCCGCTGTCGTGCTGCTCTATCGTGCGCGATGGTTTAGACTCTGAGCTGACTCACGATCATCTGCCGCTGGGATGTCATTCTTTGTGCGGGGTCGGAACCAACTCGTAGAATGTGTTGGTGGATAGCAACCTTCGATGCAAAGTGTCTGATTTTCTGGGCATGTGTGATACCCGCTGCTTGGTGCATGAACAAGATGCTGCGCTGGCACCAGAGGCGCGCGTAAGTCACAACTCAACCACAACCTGCAGCGAGCTTGTCGCACCAGCTGGCCTTCTCATGGTCGCGTGCCACTCATCATTTTGGTTTGTTTTCTCGATTCCAACTTGAATATCGCAGCGCGGCGTGTTGATCCCAGCCTGCGATGTCTATGCATGGGCTGTGATGACTTGGGAAAGTTTTACACGTATTCCTTTGCGCACCACCGACTATGAGACCGTGGGCCGCCACTTCAATGAATCCCTGACTGCCCCAGCCGATGACTCGGATGAAGATGACATTGATGGCAACTACGCCTGGGATCGGGCTACGCGCTTCAAAAAAGCCTTTGGTGCTGACCCGTTGGCCCTGAGCATCCCTTCTGACATTCGCAAACTCTTGCACGACTGCTCGAAGGAGAACCCGCACGAGCGCTTGGTCTTCAAAGATGTGCAAACACGTCTCAAAACCTTCTCCATGCGTTCTGTGGGTGCGGCGCTTGTCCAGCTGGGCGAAGAAGGTCATCGTCAGGCCCGAGTTTTGCAACAGGTCTTTCCTAAACACGTTGCCGATGCCCTCAAGGCCGGTGTCAAGCCTGAGATCGAGGAAATGGAAAATGTCAGCGTCTTTTTCACGGACATTTGTGGGTTCACCACCATCAGCTCCAAACTCTCGGCTGCGCAAGTCTCAGACATGTTGGATCGCTTCTTCAGCCGCCTGGACATTCTCATCAAGGACCTCGACTTGTACAAGGTCGATGTGATTGGTGACTGCGTCATTGTTGCTGGTAATCTGTACCGGCACCAGGAGGATCACGTGAGCCGGCTGTGTCGCTTTGCGCTGGGAGCCTTGAAGGCAGCCGAAGAAACTCCGATTCTCGTTGGCTCCAACTACGGTCCTGTGCGCATTCGCTGCGGGTAGGTGACAATCTTACTCAACCTCATGTCATCCTCTCGGTTCCACCTGCCGTGTGCTTACTCCGCCACATTCGACCTGCTCGGTGTAATCAATTTTCAACTCATCTGCCTCGATGATCTCGCTTTGTCTGATAGTATTCACGTGGGGCCTGTCGTCTGCAATGTCATTGGCAAGATTTCACCCAAGTACACCTTGCTGGGTGATACCATGAACACAGCGTCACGCATGGAGTCTTCATCGCTGCCCGGTTACGCGCAACTCACTTCGGAGGCAGCCACCATGCTCACCGAACAAGATGCAGTCATTGCATCCCGCCTAGCGTTGCGTGGTGCAATTCCTGTGAAGGGCAAGGGCGAGTTGATTACTTACTGGCTGCTTCGACCCAAACAGGAGGCGCCCATGACCGATCAATTGGCCGAGGGCTTGCCGACGCGCAGTGACCCAGAAGTGCTGGCCAAGGCCAGTGCGACTCCGCCCTCACCCAACGCGCTGGATCAGAGGCACCGTAGTCTATCTGACGCAGAGGGAAGCAAGAGCCGGCTGGCGCCAAGAGGGTCCTGGAGTGGACCCGAAACGCCGTTTCATCGTCGTTCAAACGCACAGTTGACCCCAGAACCCCACGGCATTGTTCGAAAAATCTCTCCACGGGCCAGTTCTCGCATCAAGCGTGCGCGTGGCATGACCGTGCACCTCATGGACAACGCCAGCGAGATGGGCAGCATGGCCCCCTCAACTCGAGGCAGCAGCATTGATTTTGACATGTTTGACAGATGCTCGCCCCTACCTCATGCCAGCGCGTCCTATACGCCACCATCGGCCGGGCTGGGCAGTCATGATTCTGCGAACAGCGATTTGCGGCAGCTTCACTGGGACTGGCGTCATGATTCAAATGCCAGCTCTTCCGGTGCAGCACGGCGGCGCTTTTCGGATCTCCCACGCTCGCGTCGTGGCACCACAAGTGCACATCGCCCGTCGCTCTTGACACACACCATGGACACTGTTGGCGAGGAGGAGGAGCCCAGGCCAAACAACATGTCGGCGGGTTCGCAAGTGCCGCGGCAACGCAACAACGTGCCACTTCCACATCCATCCCTGCTCTTGGCATCCCGTGGGCATTCTGTGGATGCTGAGGACGGTCTTGATTCCAGCCCTGAAACGTCTCCTTCAACAGAGCAAAGTAGTCCAGGATCCCACCCTGACTCCCTTGCCTCGCCAAATCGTCTCCTTCAGAGTCGGTACACCGAGAGCGAGGGCTCATCCGTGTATGAGCGGCGCGAAACCGTTACCGCGCCAGAGGCTCGACGCTCAACCGAGTTTGAAATGCCAGACTTTGATCTCGGCTTATCTCATGATCGACGATCATCCTCGTCTCTCAACAACCTCTCATGGTCCATGCCACGACCAAATCGCACGTTTCGCGGCCTCACCTTGACCAACGGCTCCATTGGTGATACTGCTGAGGCGCATGTCTGGCCGCCGCCAAGTCGCATTCAGAAAATGCTCAGTCAACAGGGCCCATCGGCTCAGCCATCTGCTCTGGCCAGTCCCTCCACCTCCTCTCATAAGATCGGCTCTCGTGGATCGAGCCGGGAGAAAGGCATCGCTCGTCGCGCGCGCGGTCGTTCCGTAAACATGCAGATGATGGACCTGTTGCTGCAAGCACGCGCTTCTGGTACACTCTCGTCATCAGAGGTTTGAGGAAAACGACTTTTCCTTGAGATACGGACGCGTGGCTTGGTCTCTTTAGCATTTACGTCGTCTTTTCGGGCAGGTGTAGTTTGCTTGCGTGTTGCGTGTTGCGTGATGTGCAAACGCGTTCCCGTGTACCTTCATTCGATCAATCCCTGATGGTGGCATAGCCCATCATAGAAAGTGACTGTTAGCTTTTTCTCTCTGATTGCCTGCACCACGTAGTGGTATCTTCCCTTGCGTGAACTTAAGTGGGTTGGGGAGCATGTTTTTTTTTTTTTTTTTTGCGGGATTTGATTTATGCGATTGCCCTTTTTGTTCATCTGCCTGATCTATATCGTTCGTTCTGCTACCTTGCATGCGGTGTGACGGCTAAAGGGTTTTAATTTGTTTTTGTTTTCTTGAATTTTTGCCCCCCGCATGATAGGCGCTGTGCGCCAAGCTTCTGCGAGACAGCAGCAGCAAAAGAAAGAATCGATTCAATTTTCGGATTCGAGAGTCTTGATATTTGCCGCACGATCAGGCTCGCAAGATAGGCATTTCGACTGTTGGGCCACGCACACGACAAGGGCGCACAGCTCCAAGAAAGAACAAGAGGGGAGGAAACAGAAAAAAAAAAAAAAAAAATAAAGGAAAGAAAAGAAAAGGAAAGGCATCTGAAATTCGCTTATGGCGTACGCATGGAGTGGAAGATGGGTGGTAGAAACAAAAAAGAATTAACCAAACGACCGCAGGAACGGTGCGGTGCAGCCTAACTAGCATACGTGCCACCACCAGATCCCATAAAAAGCACGCTTACGCTTAATACACCTCAAGCACATAGCGACCGTTTTCCTTCAACATGTCTAAGAACTCGTCCACCTGCTCCTCACTCATGCCAGCCTCAGCGACCAGACCGTCGGCGATGGCCTGGCGAATGTCGGGGACGGGCCAAGTCGGGCCACACAAATAAAAGTGACCCTCTTCCTTGTACAGGTGCCGCACAATGTCCTTCTTATCTTCCGTGATTTTGTGCTGAATGTAGATCTTTTGCGGCTGATCGCGAGAGAAGGCCAAACCCAGTCGTGTGACGAGTTTATCTTCGTACATGGCATCGAGGAAATCGCCGTACAGATACTCCTCGTGACGGTGGCGCGAACCAAAGTAGAGCAGAACAGGCCCCACTTCGATGCCTTGTTGTCGCTGCCACATACGCTCTTGGATAAAAGCGCGGAACGGTGCCATGCCGGTACCCAGGCCAGCCATGATGATGGGCTGCTTCGGGCTGGGCGGTAGGTGCATGGCGCTGGGCTTGATGTCAACGTTGAGATAGATGTCACCGTCTGCTTCTGGGTTGAGACCCGCCAGATACCGAGTACATTGACCGTATCGTTGGCGGCCCTTGGGAGTAACCCAGTCGACGAGCACGACCAAGAGATGGACTGAGTTGGGGCACATTTTCATGCTGGAGGAGATTGAATAGTGGCGAGGCTTGATCGGGGGCACCATGAGAATAAGCTCATCAAGAGGGGGGCGAGCGGAGTCAAACTCGCGCAGGATGTCAACGTAGGTGTAGGATTCCAGCTGGCGAATCTTGAAACCTTCCTTGTCTTCTGTACCAAGCCACTCGAGCTTGGCGCGTTGGAAGCTGTCCTCGGCAAATGGTGCCAGACCCTTTTGGTGTTGAGTGGACCGCGAAGAGCAGCACGTCGGCAAAAACCGTGTGAGTTGGGGCGGCTTCAAAGTCAGAAATCGGGCAAGGAGATGGCAGGGCAAATACCTCGTAGAACTTTTGGCTGGGCTTGCCAAAAAGGTCGAGGCGCTCGGTGAAGAGTTGACGGATGGTCAGGAGCTCACGCTGGCTTGCAATTGTGGGATGCTCGATCGAAACCACTTCCTCACCGTCAAGGCCATAATAATCCAAGAACTCAGCCACTTCGACTTTGTCATTGTGTCCAAAGACGCCCAAGGCATCACCAATCTCGTACTTCAGGCCCGTGCCCGTAATGCTGGGAGACCGGTCGTGCAAAGCCAAGAGCAATGTGGGGTGAGTGCAGCCCTGATGCCAGTTGGAAAAAGCATTGAGATAGCAAAGCATGGCGCTCTCGCAGGTTGGTGTTAAGACAAAGCAGAGCAAAGAATGCGCACGCAAATGCGCCAACGTACTCCATTTCGAGGTGGAAGACGTTGCGGTGGTACTCGTCGGGGGTGAGTCGCTGGTGCTTGGTCAGGCGTACACGAAAAACGCCTTCGTGGCCGGGACGGGCGCCACTTTGGGCGGCATAGGTGTCCTTGTACATGAAGTGCCAGGCCAGCTGAGCTTTGTTGACGGCACGGGGGCGGGAGGAGGTCGGGGCGGCGCGCACCAGGCGTGCGCGGGGGGTGAAGGACACGGCTGACTCAGGGGCATTGGCACTCTCTTCAGAAGCACACAGACGAATGGTATCTTGGTTTGGAGTCACAAGGGTGCGATGATGATGATCAAGGGCGTGCTTGAGAAGACGCTCGGCGGTCTGGCAAGCCTGGGTCAAGCCGGCCTCGGCCGCAAGGGCGGCAAGCAAGGCCGAGGAGTCGGCGTGTGGGACAAGGCGCTGGGCAACTAGGAGTGCGGTAAGCAAAGCCCGATCGGCGTCAGTGCAGCGAATCTTGAGGTCGCTCGCGGCCGCATCCAGGTCGAGGACGTTGAGCTGGATATTTCGCGTCACAATTTGACGCTTAATGGCAGGGCTGGCATCGTCGCCAAACATGTCCCAATCGAGATCATCGAGCACGGTGATGGAGCTGCCCTCCTCAAGGCGAGCGATGATGGGTAGAGCAAGGTGGCGCATGAGCTTGGAGGATGTGACCACGGCGCTCTGCTGTTTGGCGGTTTGAATTGATAGGGCGGCAAGGCTTTGGGGGCTGGCGCAAATGACGCCATGCTGGACGCCGCTGAGCGCGATTTCATCGTGGCTGAGGTAGGCGGCCGTGTAGGTCCGCGCAGTTTGGTGGAGGGTGCGAGTCACACCGGTGGCCACGGCATCAACAGCGGCATGCCCCCACACACCGACCGCAGTGGTACGGGGCAGGGACTGAAGGGAAAGGGCCAGGTCAGTGGCGGCTGTAAGGTGGGTTTCGCTTCGGGCGCCTTCTTGGCGAGTGGCGAAACGCAAGGCGTCGAGGGCCATATCCACGGTCACACCATCAGGGCCGGGGGCAAGGCGGCACAGGCGCACGCTGGGGCGTTGGGGCGCCGTCCAGGATTCGCTGAAAAAGGTAGCGGAGACGTCAGGAAGCAGGAGGGAGCCATCGGCGGCCTGGCCCACCTCGACGACGGTGATACGGCGGGTGGATGTTGGGAGGGCAGCGCAAAGGTCACGGGAGGACCAGGGGCGGAAGACGCGAACAGCAACGGCGGCAACAGAGTGGCCATCGATGATATTCTTATGGGCGGCAAGGGCTGAAGCAAAGGCTGGGGCGACGGTCCCAAGGAAAATGACGACGTGGGTCGCATCCTTACAGGCACCAAAGGTAGTGAAGAAGTCAGTTGCGTGCGCTCCGGTACGAGCCAGTGCCCGATGGGCCGCCTCGACAGCATCATGGGCAGCATCGCTGGAGTTGGCCGCGCGACTGTCGACGAGTGTGGAGTGCGCGGCAGCAAGCGGGGGTTCGGGCAGCTGGCAAAGGGTGCGTCCGGCAAAGATGCCATCGTAAACGTGAAGGACGGGAAGACGGGCCTGGGTGGCCAGGAGATGAGCTAGGGCACCGGTTTCCGGAATTTCCTGGCCATTGAGGGGGAAGATCATGACAAAGTTTGAATCACGGTAGAGGGCAAGCACGGTGAGATCAAGCTGCTCGTGGAGATTGCTGTCGACCTGTTGAAGGGCTACATGGACGGCCAGGGGCTGGCGTCGCGCCGCAAGGGAGGTCAGGGCCGGTGCCATGGCGGGCAGCGCAATGGAGGAGGTGAGGACGGCAATGGGGGAGGTGATGGAGGAAGCGGCGCCGGCCACAGCGGCGGCAGCACCTGCGCGCAGATCGAGCTGCTGGACACGCGGGAAGCGACCGTGCACGTTGGAGCGCTGTTCGGCTTGCCAGGTGGTCAGCAGCTCGGCTTGCTCGTCAGCGGTACCGACGTGGTAGACAAAGACAACATCACTTTGGTTGTAGGCAAGGTCAGCGAGGGCAGCGGCAGGGGTGCGAGTAGGGATGTGGGATGCCCCATCAAAGACATGCTCGATGCGTTGATGAATGGCGTCTTGGAGGTTGTGAACGGTATCCTCAATCCGGTGGACAGTGTCCTCGATGCGATGGATGTTGCGATCCACAGCGGCGCGTGCGCTATCCCGGCCATTCTTCAGGAGCTGGAAGAGCACGACACCGGCTACGGTGGAGGCGCCGGCGACTTGGAGCAGGCGACGCTGGGTCGCCTCATCTCCGGGCAAGAGGGAGGCAAGCTGATCCAACATGGCGGCGATGGTCGCAGGGGGTTAGGGCAGTGGGATCGCTGCCGACCAACCCGATCGATGGAAGTGATCCAGACAGAGAAACGGGAGCGTAGAGGCAACGGAAGGAACGAAGAGGGAGAGACAGAGTGAGACAGGGAGTGAGAGAGTGAGGGCAGCCAGTCACTGGGTCCTGCACGCGGCAAGCCCAAGGGAAACTGCTTTGGCGCGTGCGTGTGTGGCGATTTCTCTTCAAAGGCCAGTGTGTGTGTGTGTGTGTGTGTGTGTGTGTGTGTGTGTGTGTGTGCGTGTGTCAGTGGGCGTTGTTAGTGGAGTCAAGAAAGGAAAGAAAAAGTAGACAAAAGGTTGTTTTTTTTGTGGTGACGACACACGACGCCGATCAGAGCAGCGGGGTGTCCTTGGAGGAGGAGGAGCGTTGAGCAACGTCCCAACTCACGGAACATCGGTGATAATGATGATGAGAGGCGATAAGGCGGGGAGGGGGTGTGTGTGGAAGGGCGCAGCGCAGAAGGGCAGAAGGGCGGCGACTGGATTGTCAGCACGGCTTGACTCGCACAATGTGCCAGACGGGACGGGGGTCGCACAGGTGTTGCGGATCCGATCTCGACAAACATGGCTTATAAGGATGGCCCGAAAAACCGCATATTTTCAATACACTCGCATTTCTGTATTGTTTTGTCCTGGTTTTTCCTCCGGTCCACAGGGATTGCGGCCCCGATCGCAACAAAAGTGGCTTTTAAGGATCGTCATCCGACCTCACCATGATTCCACCAACACGCGACAGACAGGAACACAAAAGAATGACGTTGATCTTGATACGAATGAGATTACCAAGCGTCATGTTTTTTTTTCCTTTCATGTTTGCATCACGAGCTTTTCAACACAGTCACTCAGGCATGCAAGGTATAAATAACATGCGGTCAGTCCCTTTATGTGTGTGTGGGTGTGTGGGGGGAGGGGTTGCACCTTGTTTGGGTTGACAAGGCACGAGATTCATCACATCGTCATCTCGTGCCGAATCGTGCTGTGAGCCAGCTTGTGTAGTATCACACCTCCCCCGCCCTGCCCTCCATTTCCCCCCATCAACTTCCTCACGAGCTCTGTCGCACAGACTGAACAGTCTCGCCTCAGATGACGACGATTTCACCTGACCACCAGCCAAGCCAGATTATCATTCACCCCACGAGCAACTTTGTCGCGCTAGGCACATTTGTCTGCACACCCTGCGCCGTCATTCATCGAGGCGTTGGTAAGCCCAAACGCAACGCTACAATCTTGCCTGACACCACACGCTCAACCTTGATCATCATCATCGCACAGCACACGCACACACATACACGTACCTCTTGATGCACAACTCCACTTGGCGTACGGCCGGAGCTGCTCGGGTCACTGCGCGGGCCGCCACTCGAGCCGCAGTGGATACCTCGCTCATGCAACCCCCGTCCTGCCCTGCATTTTCTGATTCTTCCCTTGGCCCCGACATACTCTGTGTTTGATTATCCATTTTCTGTTCCATTAAACAACAACAACAACACTTTTGCGTTGGTGGTCACGCGAAAACTCATTTTTTTTTTTTTTTTTTTCGCCAGGCTTTTGAACGCTCAAATTAAGGTCTTCTGCCGACAGCTGCGCGCAACCGTTATCTGCCCCTTCCGACTGCCGGTGATTTGGGCTTTTGCTCATGCGCCCAGTCTTCAATCTGCTTTCCCAATTCCAACCACTTGGTCCCCGAGCCCTACGACCATTGCTTGACTTGGTCCCCGCCCCATTTCAGCCCCTCCGCTCTCCTTGCCGATTGCCGCTTGATCGTGGTATCAGCCGACTTCCGAGACAGCGCTGGGCAATGCACACCACGTCCTCTAGCACTGCGCTCATGGCTACAGAAATGCCCACGCGCGCCCAGGCCAAGCACAACGCCGGCACCCACCTGTCTGCGAGCATCATGGACTCGGCCTCTACCTCGGATCGCAGCGGCACAAGCTCGCCCGAGCGCCTTTCCCCTTCCATCGAGGCGGATGGCAACGGCGGTCACCACTCATGGGACACTCATTTTGATGAGGGAAAGGTGCCAGAACATCTCCCCACCCTCAGTCACGATGATGTGCTTGCGCTGAGTCAGGACAAGCTGGCAGCCCTCAATGATCAGCTGGCAGACTGCAGCCCCGTCCAGATCCTACGCTGGATGCGGGCACAGCCTGCATGGGGCAACGTTGTCCAATTCACCTCCTTTGGCGTGTCTGGCATGGTGATCACCGATATCATGACGCGCCTCGGCTTCCTGACCCCCATTGTCTTCGTCGACACCCTCTACCATTTTGATGAGACCCTGGATCTGAAGGCGACCGTTGAAAAGGTGTACAACCGGCAAGTTTTGGCCTACGGCCCTCAGACCAGCTCCGACCGATCGACCTTTGAAGAGTACTATGGTCAAGGTAAGCCGTCTCCCATACCTCTGGCTCTTGTGCTTTGGATCAATCCACCGCAGCCTAACCCTTTGTGTGCCCCTGACTTCTCCACTTGACACGTTCTTTTTTGCAGAGCTGTGGTCCAAGGACAGCGAGTTTTATCACTATTTGACAAAGGTCGAGCCCACGGGACGGGCTTTGACCGAGCTTGAGGTCGACGTGTGGATCACGGGCCGCCGTCGCTCCCAAGGGTCGAGTCGCGCCTCCCTCGCTGTCTTGGAAGTCGCGAGCGATGGTCGTATCAAAATCAACCCCATGGCTCACGTGGATTGGGCCTCCACTTGGAAGTATGTCAAGTCTGCCGGCGTGCCATACAACAAGCTCGTCGACCAGGGCTACAAGTCCATCGGTGACGTGCACAGCACCCGCCCCGTGGGACATGATGCCCCTGAGCGCTCTGGCCGTTGGTCGGGCGAGTTTCGTACCGAGTGCGGCATGCACACCGCCGTCAAGGCCGCTCGCCGCACCTCCGCTGGAGGCAGCGATGCCAGCGAGACCAGCGATGCCACCAGTGATAGTGAAAAGACAACGCAGACGGCCGTTGCCTTGCCGGCCGTGATTGAATAGTGCATGGCTGGAGGCTGCACTAGTGTGCCCCCAACCCTTGCAGTGTGTGCATGTGTCGTGTCGTGGTGGGTGTGTTTTGTTGTTGTTTTTTTGTTTTTTTTGGTTTCTTCTTTTATTTCTAGGTCTCCTTCGGGATGACAGCCCCTTCGTTACATCAAGGCAGTGTGCCGTGCAAAGCCTGGATCACCCTGGTTGTGCAGGTGATGCAAGCGCATCACTTGGTCGTGCTTCTCCCGGTACTTGCCTCGAAGCCTTTCAGACGCAAGGCTAGTCACGCTGCGCGTGGCAAAGTCAGCTGCACGATATTTAGTAGTCCATTAATTTCATAAAGACTCTTAAAACCTGACCACACAATACCTGTCATACATGTGCCGGAAGAACTCAAGGACTCAAAAACAAACAAACATCACGTGTCTACGACAACACAAAACGAAGCAGCTCCTGAGCAACAAAAATAAAAAGATTCGATGACTAAGAGGAGACTCGAACTCCCAACCTCCTGATCCGTAGTCAGATGCGCTATCCGATTGCGCCACTCAGCCGATCAGTCACTTGACGGAAGTTAGGAGCAAAGTTTGTTATAAAAATACGAGCTGACGAAAACACTTTGGCTGACAAAACGTCGAACACGTGCAAAAAGGCATGCCATCAAAATGCTGGCATTGGTAGGCAGGCATGAGCAAAAAACCCCAAAAAGATTCGATGACTAAGAGGAGACTCGAACTCCCAACCTCCTGATCCGTAGTCAGATGCGCTATCCGATTGCGCCACTCAGCCGATCAGTCACTTGACGAGGGTGGCAGCGCCTAATGTCTCTTACAAACACCGTCGGCCCAATATCAAGCAAATGACTCTGCTCTCGGGGCAGAGTTGAAGAGCAAAGTGCGAGGCCATTTCGGACCCTCAAGCACCACCTGAGGGCCTGCGTTGACAAACTTCAAAAAAATTTCAAGTCGCTGCCCTTCTACAGCTCGGCGAGGGATGGGAAGGTCGAACAAGAGAGACAAAAACCCCAAAAAGATTCGATGACTAAGAGGAGACTCGAACTCCCAACCTCCTGATCCGTAGTCAGATGCGCTATCCGATTGCGCCACTCAGCCGATCAGTCACTTGACGAATACCTTCAGAGAAAGGTTGATATGTATAGGGCTGCAAAAACCTATGAGATGTAAAAAACAAAAGAAAACAGATCCATTGTACGTTGGCTTGGTAGCAAAAAGATTCGATGACTAAGAGGAGACTCGAACTCCCAACCTCCTGATCCGTAGTCAGATGCGCTATCCGATTGCGCCACTCAGCCGACCAGTCATTTGACGAAAACCAGCAGCCGAAAGTACATATATCAACAGCACTGAAAGCCAAGAGCTTAAAAATGTCAGCAATATCTGACAGCACGGTAAAAAAGTTAGATGACTAAGAGGAGACTCGAACTCCCAACCTCCTGATCCGTAGTCAGATGCGCTATCCGATTGCGCCACTCAGCCGATCAGTCACTTGACGAGGGACCGAGTACATTTTGTGCTATATAACTGGCTTTGAAAATCTTGACTTTCTCGTTGTGTCCAATCCAAGGCGTGGCATTTCTTGTTGTACATGTACATCCATCTGATCATGACTCAAGCAACGCGAACGTGGACTGTTTTGGGTCTCGAGGGCAGCGCCAACAAGATTGGTGTGGGCATCGTTCGGGATGGCAAAGTGCTGAGCAATCCTCGCACAACGTACATCACGCCTCCCGGTGAAGGCTTTCAGCCCAAGGACACGGCACTGCATCATCGGTACGGCGCTGTGAGAAGAACTTTGGGGCTCACCAAGTTTGGGATGCTCACTGCTCTGGGACGTCTGTACATAGGAGTCATGTTCTGCGGATTGTCGCCGAGGCCCTGCGCGAAGCCGAGCTGACATCGGCTCACATTGATGCCATTGCCTTTACGAAGGGCCCAGGCATGGCCGCACCCTTAACCGTGGTGGCAGTGGTGGCGCGCACGCTGGCCCAGCTGTGGAACGTGCCCTTGACGGGTGTCAATCATTGCATTGGGCATATTGAAATGGGCCGGTAGGCTGCTTTCATCGCAGACCAGCGCTACGTTCGAGTACGATCTTGCGCGAAATGCCCATCTCTCATCATGCCCTTTTGCCCACGCACTGATAGGCTAATCACTGGCGCGCAGAACCCGACGGTGCTCTACGTCAGCGGTGGCAACACCCAGGTGTGAACAGCTCTGAGTGGCATGCCTCGGCCTCATTTGTTGCCCTCGATTTTCTTCTTCCTTATTGCTGGCTCAAGCGCACCATCCGTGACCTTGGGAATGCTGAACTTTGCAGGTCATTGCCTACTCCCGCCAGTGCTACCGCGTTTTTGGCGAAACCATCGACATTGCCGTGGGCAATTGCTTGGATCGATTTGCTCGCGTTCTCAAGGTCGGGCCTCACATTTTGCAAGCAGACTACTTGGCTTCAAGCCTTTGCCTCAGGCCGCTTGTGGGCTTACTCAAAACTTACCCTGTCCCTCGCTGGTGTATTGGTTTTTGGCGGTGTGCAGATTAGCAACGACCCAAGTCCCGGCTATAACATTGAGCAATTGGCCAAAGAGGGGACTCAGCTGATTGACCTGCCTTACACCGTCAAGGGCATGGATGTGAGCTTTTCCGGCATTCTCACTTACATCGAAAAGTCGGCTAATGAGCTGGTACGTTCGGGTGTGTGTGTGTGTGTGTGTGTGTGTGTGTGTGTGTGTGTGTGTGTGTGTGTGTGTGCTCCCTGCTGGGTCTACACCTGGATTCGGCTTGTGGGTACTGTTTTCGTCTTGTCTTTGGCTTGATCAGAAGAAATGTCTGCGCATGTGTGCCCACAAACCCTTCACTAAGCTTGCTTGGCATTGTCTGGTCTATTGTCGTGGATCGAAGCTGGCTGCTGGCAAATGCACGCCAGCCGACCTGTGCTATTCACTGCAGGAGCATCTCTTTGCCATGCTGATTGAAATTACTGGTGCGACCAAATCAAAGCAAAGCGAAAGCCGCGCTGACCCTGCCCCGACCACTTCCCAAACACCATGCAAGCCATCTTTTTCTCTAACGAACCACGGCTCGTCTGATAGAGCGTGCTATGGCACACTGTGGGAGCGAGGAGGTTCTTATCGTTGGTGGCGTCGGCTGTAATAAGCGGCTACAGGAGATGATGGGTAAGCTGTGGTGCATGCGCGGTTGTCAGCTGCGAGGTGCCATGCCATTGATGATCGGGTGTGGTGTCTGTACATGACGGTGGACTGGCAGAAATCATGGCTAAACAGCGGGGTGCCAAGCTGTACGCGACGGACATGCGCTTCTGCATCGACAATGGGGCCATGATAGCACAGGCTGGTTGGGAAATGGCGCGATGCGGTCTGTTCACAGACCTGCCCGATACCTGGGTAACCCAGCGGTACGTTCCAACGTCTTGTTTGCGCGCCTGGGGGGCGGGATTGGGGGCGTCAATTTTTGTTGGTTTTTTTTTTCTTGCTTTTCTTTTCCTTTTACCTCACATTGGGTGGTGGATTCCCGTATCTCACAGGTATCGCACGGATGACGTTCATGTGGCCTGGCGAGATTGAGCGGCCCGTTTGCCTAAGCTCTCTTTCCAATGTTCAGGTCAAGTACCAATCATCGTAAAGAAGCAACAAGACACATCACCGTGACCCTTGCCCCAGGTTCACCGCCGCGCGGTCAGCCTGCCCCAGCCGTTCCGCCAACAAGCGCCTGAGCGATTTATCAGCCCACCCATTGTTGTCAGGGCAGGCATCATCTGACATCATCAGTCTGGCAATTTCTGTATCGATTTGTGACTGAAAGAAGCATGAAATCAATTTTATCAACACCGCAACATCACTATGACCCACTTTTACTCACACGTAACAACATCCTTGTTCGATCTGTTGCTGTTGTTGTTGTTGTGTTGTTGTTGTTGTTGTTGTTGTTGGTTTCTTCTCTGCAAAGCCCCGATCGCGATCAGTGGCATTTTTTTTGGCTCTCTACCCGGACTTGGACCGTTTGTCTCGCTTGATCCTCGAAACCTGTCAAAATGGCCCCTCCCAACCTTGGTAAGCTCGAGCTGTGGCGTTCATACAGCAACCCAACCGAATCGGGAGGATGGGATCGCTCTCTGGCGCTAAACTGAGCGAGGCAGTGGATGCCAATCAAGCCACTGTGTGTGCGCAGCGCCTTGTCTGACTCTTTGATCCTTGATCTGTGCTCCATTGCATTATCCTCAAGGCGATGTGATGCCCAACGCGGAGCTCGAAACCACGGAAGGTACTTTCAAGTTCCACGACTTTATCGGAGACAAGTGGGCCATCCTCTTCAGCCATCCTGCCGGTTCGTGACGTGCGCAGCTAGAAACTCGTGCTCCCCCATCACCCGGCGGCCGGCAGCCTTTGCGAATCGTGAGTGCAACACTCATCGCCTTGCCTTGACCTGTCTGCTGTTTGATCTCAGATTACACGCCCGTGTGCACGACTGAGCTGGGCACGCTCGCCAAGCTTGTCCCCGAGTTTGACAAGCGCAACACCAAGGTGATTGCGCTCTCCGTGGACAGCATTGAGGACCACAAGGGCTGGAGCAAGGATGTCTCTGCGTTTGCCTGCATCGACACCCTGCCTTTCCCCATCATTGCCGACAAGAACCGTGATTTGGCTGTTGCTTTGGGCATGCTCGACCCGGATGAGCAGACCAAGGAGGGCCTGCCTGCCACTGCCCGCTGCGTCTTCATTGTTGGTCCCGACAAAAAGCTCAAGCTCTCCATCCTCTACCCGGCCACCACTGGCCGCAACTTCAACGAGGTGCTGCGCGTCCTTGACTCGCTGCAGCTGACTGCATACCACCGTGTTGCCACCCCTGCCAACTGGCAGCCGGGAGACGAGTGCATGGTCACCCCTGGCGTCAAGGTGGAAGAGCAGGAGAAGGTCTTCCCCAAGGGTGTCCGCACCCAGGAGGTGCCCTCGGGCAAGGCCTACCTCCGCTTCACGCCCCAGCCCAACATCTAAGCTCCTTTTGCTTTGTGTAATGATGCCACCACCCTTGCACCAGAACAGTGCTGTCTGTGCCTGCTCATGTCTTTCTTGTCCATCATCATCCTTCCCGTTGGCATGCCGATGCAATCAGTTGTGTGCTGTGGTGACTGCGCTCCTTGCTTTTGGCAATTTATCAGACTAGGATCCCACCTTTGATGAGTCAGTCATTCTTCACTCCCAAACGCCGACGCGTATGTCCTTCAAAGTGTTGCTGTACGAGTTATTGTCAAGGATCAACCCAAACACATAACCACACCAGTGAAAAGAGAGAGAGAGAGTTTTGTCAAACTGTGGCTTGTGTTACAGTTCATAACCCATGTTGTGTCGTGTTCAGCCACACGTTCAGCGAGTTTGCGGCAATCCTCACACACACACAAAGGTTATCTCTCTCTCTCTCTCTCTCTCTCTCTCTCTCTCTCTCTCGCTCTGTCTGTCACTTTCCTTCCGGTGCCGTGTTCTTGAGAGGTGAGAGCTGCTTCTGCGCGTCGAGCTTGCGCGTCGAGCTGTGCTGGTGAATGGGAGCTGGGTTTCCAGTGCTGGGAGGTGGGAGCTGGGTCCCCTGTGATCGGGTCTGCAAGGACTGCACCGCCCAGACAGGGTTGAGAAGGGAGCTTGAAGGGAGATCGGAACACTCCCACATGGTCACGTTGATGGTGATGGTGTGCTGTTGAGGCACGCTCTCGCTCACGCGACTCCTTCATGCATCGGGTGCGCAGTTTCTTGTGGACCACGGCGTTTGGTTCCCGATACTTGCTCGTTTCTCGAGTGTTGTGAGCTCGACCAGGACCGCCTTCCCGCCACCATGACTGCCGCTGCAGGTACGTTGCTTCTTCCTCTTCTTCTTCTTCTTCTTCTTCTCCTTCTCCTTCCTCCTCTGCTTCTTCTCCTTCGTCATGGCAAGAAGCCACTCAATGCGCTTGCTACATGGGCGGCTCATGGATGGCTCACAGGAGCCGAGGCCAAGCTCATGGCCCTTGGCCTGAGCGACAACAAGGCCGGTGAAATCGCCAAGAACCAAAGCCTCACTGACCTTCTGCTCGATTTTCTGGCCAAGGTGCCCCCTCCCCCCCTATCGCTTGCCTGCCTGCCTGTCTGCTTGGGTCGGTCCGCTCCTTGAAGACCAACCAACTCAGAAGCCCATCCGCTCTTTGAATCTTGCGTAGGCAGGAGGCAACGTGAGCAAGGACCAGGGCATCTTGCTCTTTGAATTTGGCCTCAAGTTCCAGAAGGAAAAGGTTGCTGTCAAGCTCGAGCCCTTTGTCGATGTGATCATTGGCCACATCATGTTCGTCCGCGTCCGCCCCGGTGCCTGTGGCTCGCTATGGAATTGCGGCGGTCTGCAAGTGGACCCCGCCGCCCGTTGCCTCGCATGTGCACAGCCCACCCTCACTTTCTCGTGTGTCATCCACCCAACAGGAAAGATGATTTCAAGCAAAAGATCCAGCTTGATGGTAAGCGCTCACCTTTGTTTCCATCATGTGACCCCGTCACCCAACTCCACGTACACCACCGCTCACCCACTGAATCAAACCCATGAACCAGCGGCCTGG